TCAAAGAGGTATAGCACCGGAAAGCATCGAGTAACAAAGGATAAAGAAAAAAATTAGCGAATTATGAAATCTAAAAGAGAATCTGTGTTGATAGTGACACCTACTCGCATAAAGTTAATTCCTTTTTCGTGTATAACTCATGGATTTTCTCAGCTGAAAGCATACAATCATTGAAACCATATAGCTTCGATAACAACTTAACCAGTAGAATGCTGAATTATTGCTAAAACACGCACAAAGCTGAAGGATAAAGCTCTTGGTGTTGATCAATCCCAGAGGGACGCGCCATGCATTCGACTTCATTAAGCATTGTTTAGAGGTGATTGAATGCATATCTAAGCTTTGCAATCATTCGCGGTGCCCTACCGAATTATCGAGCCAGCGCTGCTATCCTTCCAGACAAGTCTGGTAGCAATTTGTCGACCCCGGCGGGATGGGCTTGGGGTGCCCTAGGAGCGGGAACCGATCCCACGTGTGTGTTGCAGGGCGCCCCCGACCACTGCGCCACATGCGGCAAAACATGCCTATTCACAGAGAATGGTATAATACTGCACTGTGAAGTTAAAACACCAGAAATCTAATAAAGTTGGAAGGAAACCTTAGCAACAGAAGTATAGCACCACCTGGATGTGCAGGCTGCACGTATTGATTTCTAACACATATCTGCTAACACCTGCCAAAGATTTAGAGCCTCATCGTGGCTACAAGGTGTTTCTGAGTGTCGGATTGCGATGTACATGGTGGGGTTTATGCCTCAGCAGGACCTCCCAAGCTGAGAAGGAGAGACCTCCCCATCTGAAAGCCCAACTAAAAGTGGACTTTGTACTCCAAGAAACTGCATCGGCATATGCAATAACATCACCGTGCTTGGCCATTCTTCCTCTCCAACATGAGCGTCAAAAGAAAGTCAGGTGTTAATCACCAACTTGTACAACTGATGACAGCGAACTAGACGCGCTTTAGAACCAGTTGGAGGAAGTAATCCACAACGAAAGTCCCATAAATTCACTGTTGAAAACTTCAACACCAGATTAGGAAAGGCCAATGAAAATGAACACATGGTAGAGATGCTCGAAATGAGAGAAGGAAATGAGAATGGAGTTTTTGGGACTCCTGTCCGCAGCATGTTTCATCCATGGGAACTCATTTTTCGAGAATGAGACAAACATCGATGGATGTGGGGATCTCCTAACGAAACGGTTCACGCTGAGATGGATCATATTCTCACGAACAAGAAATGGTACCTCTCTAACACCTAATCTGGATTCTTAACTGGATCTGATCACACCTTTTTTGTGCGAAAAATAGGTTCAGTCGAAAGGAACCCCTACTATCGTCTAAGGAAAACCAAAGAAGTTGTGTACGAAGAAGATATTTTCAATAATACCGTCTCCTTAAATGACTGGCAGAAAACGAAGGTTTTACCGAGGACTACACGCTGCTTTTTAGAAAGACTTAAAATGTGTGCCGAAATCTCCTCAAACAAGAAATTAAAGCCGCATTTCTACCACCACTAAAGTGTTTCCCAAAACGAGGAGGTCACTGAAGCCTGATCCCACCGTAACACACCTAACAGAGCCGGTAATAAATACCAGCTGCGGAAGATCTCTCCAGGAGGTTTGCATCGGTATAGGCGCGAAAGGTTATTGGGAGCAGCTGAAAAATGATCCTGTCTGATGAAGTGTCGTCAGGATCCCTCAGCATGTTTCGCTATCCTATTCGCCCTGATGGACGAAGATGGAACTATCAATATAACCCGTTCTATCTCAATCTCGGACCCCGAAATAATCGTTGATGAAAAACCGGCTTAGATGTTCTACTCTCTGAAGTTCGATTTGCGATAAAAAGCATAAAGTGAGGCACAACTCCAGGAGCCGATAATATCATCACCGAATACGTTCGAGCTGGTGGCCACAAATTAAATGCGCTTATCTCAACCCATTTAACATCTTGCCTTCAAAAAGGAGAAAATCCCAGACCAATGCAGGACCTCGCGGACGATCATCCAACCCAACATGGGTGACCAAAGAAATCTTCGTAAGCAGCGTTCAATATGCTTGTTGTATGTGCTCTACAAGCTGTTCACGAAGATTGTCCTTTTGCGCATAGCGAAGACTTTGGGTGAGGCTCAACCAGTGGAGCCAGCAGAATTCAGAAAGGGATTCTGCTGAATGAGCCACATCTAATCCGTGTAACGGATCAACGAGGTTTATCAGCAGTACCATGTTTATCTTTTTCTAACTTTTATCAGCAAGAAAGCGTTTGACAGCGTTGAAATACATGCAATCCTTTTCAGCTCTCCACGATCTGGTGTCGTCTCATATATGGATGTCAGCCTACTATTATTGGAGCTAGATCATACAGTTTTTCCATCGACTCTTTGACCATATCCACCAGAAAATGGTTTTACTGTCGACAATGCGACGATAAATCGCCAAAGCTATTTACTGTCGCATTGCAGTGGATAACGAAGTCACTGGATTGAGAGAAGTGCTTGTGTGTTGACGAGAAATTCCAATGAAATCTTCATTTCGCCGATGATGTCGTCTCTTTCAGGAAAAGCACCACCGAAGCAGAGATCATTCTCGAAATGAACTCAACGAAGCGGGAAAAAAGATTGGACTGTGCACAGGTAGAACGGAAACCCAATTCATGAAGAAATCATGGTGCCAAGGTGGGCAAGTCGAAATGGATGGTTCTCTGATTACAGATGCCACCTCGTACGTGTCTTTTCGACGTCCATCAAACATGAAGGACACATGGATACGAGGATTTAGAATAAGAAGAACAGTTTGTGCCGTATTTGAGTCTCTCAAAGAATCCACCGATAGACTAATGGACCCGAAACTTCGCGCTAACCATTTCGCTTCAACAGTTTTGCCAATGCACTGTAATGCAACAGATATGCGGGCTATTACTTCTTACTTCAACCACTTCAAGAACTAATGCGCACTGCTCACAAAGCACTTAAATGATGTCTTCTGAAATATAAGCCGCACATTCAATATCTCGCCGGAACACGCAATCATCAAAATCTTTCCCATCTTCTAGATACAGGAAAATACACATCGTTAACGAACCACAGATGAGCTGGTTGTATAGCAAAAAGAACAGATGGAAGATAAGGGAAAGAACAGTGGACTGAACTTCAAGGAGAATGCAAGCATCCTCTTAGAGGACCACTTCAACGATGGACGACGTGTTCGTGACTGACGGCAGCATCCGCATTTGGGGACGCAAAAGATTTTAGGATTACAGAATGTACCTTGTCAAATCCCCCACTACAAAGCCAGTGGTAAACAATGCAATCCAGCGTGAGGCTACCGAAGTTTAGATAAGAGTCAGATCGCTGCACTCTCCATTAAGGACCGTCTGAGTTCAATACTATTCTCGCCTTCGAATACAAGAGAGATTATATCGTTGCAGGTTCACATGTTTTTTATTTCCTGGTTTGCCGACAGCAGAGAATGGCCGAAGATAGCATCAAATGATTAAATTCAGAACTCAGTTGATTAAATGAAGTCACGAGTGCACAGACTATTCGCTATCGTAGACAGATGAAGGCGAAGAGAGAATATTAACTTTCTTTTCGTGCAGTAATAGGTTCACTATGTCGGTTGTATACCATGTAACTAACCAAATCCAATGAGTTACGCAGTAGTTGATCTCAGTTTCATGACATGATTCTGGTACTTCTCCATTTTCAACAATCTCTATCTCCCTAAACGTCGCTTGATCTCTCAGCAAATCGACTTCTTGATGTCCATTAAAGTCCGCCCATTTTGTGCAAAGACATCTTTAGCGCCTTATGAATGGCGTTGTTCTCTTCTCATTCGTTATCTACTACAGATGCCTTAACATAACATTATTCTTCGGTTCTTAACGAAGAAGCTCTCTACTTACTCTTTATGTTGTCACATTATACATGCCGAATATATTGATCTTAGTGAAACATACCTCAAACCCGCTTACACCTTAGCAACTACAAACTATTTGAACAGAAATTTGAGTTTTTTGGACGACCATTCCAACCCATTTATTTATTTACAGTGACTTAAACCACGAATGCAATAAGAGTTAAAATGCTCGCCGACCTTGGTCAATCCTGAAAGGACGCCCTGCGCGTTCGCTTTCAACACGCGTCATAGAGGTGACTGAATAGATATTTAACCTAAAGAATTATTTTCAAGGTCAAATGGTATGGAAACCTTTGTGATCCAGAGGTGCGGGATCAAGTCAGTGCTCGATCCTGTCCAAATTGCAAGGTACCTGACCGCTGCGCCATGTGCGGAGCGTTGTTACAGAAAGCATTTGAAGGCTGTCGCTGATGTTTTGTTGTTGTTGCTGTTGGTTGTTGTTGGCTGAGCTAAAACATGGCTAAAGGAAGGCAAATGCATGAGTCTGGATTGGTTTGCTGGATCGCACTTGAACCCCGATAGAGATAATCTCGTGTTCGAAGTCCACCTGAGCCGCCGAGATTTGCTCATATATCAGCATCCTTATGGTTGTATCTCATTGACTTGATAGCCGGTAGGTTGCCTCCAGTTATTGTATAGGCCATATATGCATCAAATCACCATTGACGATGCTAATGAAATCAAACGCAGAGCACATCCCTCAGGAATTAATCGACGCTGGTAGTTAAATCCTTATCGTTTTATAGGCTTGTTATCACTTATCAGTATGCTTCTTATTCAAACTACAGATATTGATCGAGTAGGGATAATCATTTGCAAACGACTGTTTAGTTTAATTCTTTTTTGATATGCATACGATATCAAGTGTGTTTCAGTTGGTTAGTGTGACGGTTGACGTGGTGTTGATCTTTGCTACCGTAATCACCTCTAAGCCCGGGTATGATAAACTAATCTGGTGTTTCATTAGCCCTTCATATGGTTTCCTAGATTTATAGCAAATCCTCCAATCATATAAGCAAGTTAAGCTTTTTTTCACCAGAAAACTATCTGCTCAACATAGTATCAGTCAAATACAGATGTCAAATGACTGTGAACTACATGCAAGCAGCGGCCACCGCAAGGGTGGGGACGTTCTTGAAACTGTTGTTCCGATGGAGAGGAAGTGTTTGGAAAACTATTTGGAAAGAACTGGCCATATTCCTCTTTCTCTATTTCAATGTGAGGTTCGTGAAAGATTTTTTTAAACTATTGTAAGTGTGTGTTTCTACTCTACACTGTCTCACTAAGTTTGATAGAGAGGGAGAAACCATTTGGGTCCTATAAGGGAAACTTAGCAGTTTGCAATTACATCGTTTACCTCTCCGTAGCGAGAAGATTTGATTTGATTTGACTCAATCTGAGAATGCTGGTGATAAGGATATCCAGAAGCACTCGAACTTGGCGTATCCGCTTCCTTCTTTATCTGTACGGAATAGTGTTTCACTCATAATGCCTGAAGGCCATACTTGCCAAAGTTTGCGGTTCTTCCCAAAAAGTAACTTTAACCTCCTTTTTTACTTCTCAAGGTTTTCGAAACTTTCAATCACCTTTAACGCTATAATCATGGGTGGTGGTCTACTGATTGTAAAAACTGGCTCAGTGCAACTCGCTTTTCATTGGTTGTTATAATTCCTCCTTAGCTTATGTTTCAAAACCACTTCACTCTACCAAAATATGATCTTCGTATATTCTCAGTGTGTATCTGTATATCTGCTTTATAGCATAATCTACCGTTTCACACTGAAAGGAAACACCTATGGCGTTCTGTTTGAACGGCTTGTCGTTCATTGTCGAAATCTTTCTGTCGCAGCATCTACCGTACTATCGTTTGCTATGGGATTCTACGTTTCGCAAATTTCTGATAGGTAAGTTTTACAGCAATCATTTACCGAGTGAACAATTCTGTTGGACCGCTTTCCTTACTCTTCTAATTTTTTCTTGTTTGCTGCAACTTTATCTATTTATTACAATGTTGGCAGTGTAACGGAACTCGCTAGCGAGAGTCATGGTCAAGGTACAAGCGATAAAGCTCAGAACTTAATATGCTTAAATGCCACGCATCTCTCATTTATCCTACACTAGTCCTAATTCAGTACTAAGTTTGTTGCCAAATGTTATCTCATCATTTTTCAACGATAACATGTTTGTTATGAATTACTTGGAAAGCCGGCATAAGAAACCTGCTTTCTCTCCAGCGGGGATCACAATCTGTTAGCGCATATCTAACTCTAAATGAAACACGATTGCCATTACTTTCATAGCCAGATACGTCGTAACTGTTTGGAGTCACTGAAAGATTTTTCGAATGGATGTACCATTTTCATGCATTGGTGGAGTAAACAGGTAGTTGAATCAATGTTCTGTATTGTCGTGGCCCAAACCCGCTGGGGAAAAGGCCTCAATATACCTTCGAAATAGTTGCCTCCATTAAAGATTTCCAACCGATTCTCCATAAAGATTGTGACATAAATAAGACATCGAACAAAATTTCGCTTGGTACCAAGGTAGCACTTCGACTATTCTCAAAGCCATACGTATTATCCATTCAGCATTTGCGAGAGGAACCATCGTTTCTGTGTGTTCTAGGTGAGAGTGTAGGAGCACATCACCTCTTCGTAATAATAATTGGTAAAGCAAGTAAAATGTGTAAAAGAGTAAGGGATAAAACTCTTGGCGTCATCAATCTCCGAGGGATGAGCCGTGCATTCGACTTCATTAAGCGTCATTTGGAGGTGAACGCATATCTGGCCTCGCAGTGGCCTACTGATGTATCGAGCCAGTGCTGCTATCCTCCCAGACAGGTCTGGTACCAATTTGCCGACGCCAGAGGCATGGAAGGCTTGGTGAGCCATGGACACAGGGATCGATTCCACAATATGTGTTGCAGAGCGCCTCCGACCGGTGCGCCACAAGCGCCCTTTTGAATAGAATGTGTAGATCAATCATTACCACAAGTGTCTAGATCACTTTAGAAATGCACGTCATCAAGTGACGCTCATTCTAAGCACATTTCCTCAAAGGCTTCATTGAAACGTTAGATCTCCGAAGTCATATGTTCAGGTGGTGGAAGGTTTTTATGACAATTCCATGGCCAGATAGTACAGCATTTCAAATATGTGCGTTTTTAAGAACAAGGGATGAGAAAAAATATGAGGTTTGTATCAGTGAAACTCATTTAGATCAATTAGACAGTTTCCTAGACTAAATTTAACGAATTCATGGTATTTTGTTCCGATTGAAATGCATCCGTCTCATGATGTTAGCCTTTCTACTAACAATTACAACAACAACTGATGCATATCGCATATCTCACTTCGTTGTGAACTTTGTGGATGAAGACAAAGCAGATGACAATTTTCAGAGCACTGATCGAGTAATCCGGAAAACAATAATTCGTTACCTTACTTTGTGCTACGTGCTCGTATTTCGAGACATTAGTGAACGCATTCGACGACGATTTCCCACTTACAACCATCTGGTGGGTCTGACGTTGGTCTATGATTCGGCTATGGGCAGTGTTCTAGCAGAGTCGATAAGCTGCTCTCTATTTAGCCCAGAGGATTCGTATCATACAATTCTTGTACCATTTTCAAAGCTTAAGAAAAAATGAATGAAATTCTTGGGGCTTTAGGTGCTTTTTAAAGTAGAGTGCGCATAAATTTGTTATCACTCGTACCTGACTGAAGAAAGCGTGCACCTGTGAACTTAAAACGGCATATCTCACTTGATAGCAGACTTTATTAATAATGTGCAATAAAGTCATTAAGGCTTTTCCGGTATTTGTCCTGGAGTCGCCCCCAAAAATACGCTTCTCCGTCTACACTAGGAGAAACCGGCAAGCTAACTGTGAGTAAACCCAGCCCTCATATTAAGAGTTTAGCAAGCTATACGCGGTTTCCAAATGCTAAACACCAATAAGAGAGCGTTCGATAAGGCGAACCTGGAGAGTCTGCTAAAAATTCAGAGACATCCTGGGTTACATAAATCTCCAAGGGCTAAGTGAAGGTGACGATTTTTACCTACACTGCACGCTCACTTACATCTGAGTACTCCATAGTGTACTTAAACACGCAGGCAAGAAGGTTAAGAAGCTAAGCCATCGGATTGGCTGAGATGAGGAGACGCCTCCAATTCAAAGCCGTATATGAGGCCGGAGAAGAATTGTCGTTCGGAACATCCGATAATAAACGAATCTGTACCGTTATCATGTTTGGCCATTAACATCGACTAATTCGAACAACCAATAACACGAAACGGACGTTTAAGATTGAAGAGACATAAATCAATTTCAGCTTAGCATTCTTCATCGTCTAGGTACCGACATCGAGCTATGACGAAAAGGAGGTAGAAGCGTTCTGCACAGAGATGAAAAATTTCTACAGAGGAGACCATACATTTTTTGCTCACCGTCGCAGATTTTGACTATAAGACTGGATACAGAAAAACGTCTGAAGGATGTCACATTGGCACTCACAGCTTAGAATGGAACCAGCGGTGTGAACTTTTGCCTGAGTTTATCATAACAACCAATACTATTCATGGTAACTCGCAATTCCAGAAGTCCCACACTAAACCCTGGATGTTGGACCATAGCGAAAATGACCACATCTTAGTAAAGTTTGCCTAATCATTGTCTTACTATTTCGTTCAAGATTTCATTTTTCACTGAAAGGAAAATTAGCCCCTAAATTCAAAAAACAAGGTCCGAAAACCACCATAAGCTGGGATTTATTCCGTTTGTTAGTCGGCTGTGGGAAAAATGCCGTTCCTGGTAACACCAACGAAGAGTACGATCAGCTCATTTAACCTCTTCACGTTAGCACTATGAAATCTAAAAGTTCGAAAGTCACCAAGAGACGTTTGACTCCAGAAACACTCGAGCTGATACGCCAGCGTGGAATCGCACGAGCTGCAGGCAATCATGAACTAACGTCCGAGCATGCAAAACAATGCAGACAGGCGATAAAAGATCTTAAGGAGAGAAGAGCAGCAGTAATGGTCGAAGCTGCAGCGGCTGGGTAAAGCGTTCTCAAAGCCCACCAAAGCTTCGGCATTTGCAAGACCAAAATGATTGCACTCCGACGCCCAGACGGAACAGCTACAGCGTCCAGAAAGACAATGGAGAAAATCATTCACGATTCCGACTCGGACCTCTTCAATAGCCACGTCCTGCTCTCGTATAAAATAGGGAAGGATGGGTATAGATATCGTCCCATTGGTTCTCCCCACAGAAATCCAATACGCTATTTCGCCGGTGAGGAATCGAACAACACCGGGATCGGACATCATAACATGTGAACATCTGAAGAACCTTCCATAGTCCTCATAAATACGATGGCCTGACTCTTGACACGTTACCTTTCAGAACGCAAGGTTCCTTTCCAATGGGACACTAACAAGGGTTTGTTATTATTCAAGAAGAAGGATGACTTCTACGATATCAACATTTGTCGTCAATTCTGCTTGCTGCCTGTCATCTATAAACTACTCACTTAGGTGGTCCTAAGCAGGTTTGAATTCACACTTAACGATGGATGGCTATGCGAGCAAGCAGTGCTTTGAAAAGCATTTAGTACGATGAACCATATCCACAAAATAACATGACTGTGTGAAGTATAGCGAGAGTACAAAAGACCACTCTGCCCCACTTTCATCGATTTAAGGAAAGTTTTGACTCAGTTGAGATAGAACCAATCATGGAGACCCTGAGAAGCCCGTGAGTCCCTAGTCGGTATAAAAAGATTATTTGTGAGCTATATAAAAACTTCACAGTTAAAAATACTATATCACTATAATTATTTACCACCACCCTCGGGAACGTCATGCGAACATTAAAATGGGAAAACATGGGAGTGAAAATCGCAAGCGGAACGAATGCTTGGTGACTTTGTTAACGTCTGTGGAAAGATCGGTCTTCTGCTAAATCCAACGATGACAATGTTTATGAGGAACGGATTGGTTTCGTGCGCTCCACTCATTCTTGAAGGAATGAATATATCCGAATGTCGAGCAACCTATATCTGGGTCGTGAATTCAACGTTGTGAATGACTTAGCTTAAAACTTGGATAGTAAGAAGCGACAGACCAGCGAAACATTCAAAAGCATCAAGGATATAGTGAAGAGAGCAAAGAATACTCGAGTCCATGTCCTCCTTCTAGACTCCACGATCCTTCTAGCTTTAAAGAATAAGTCAAAAGGCTGGTCGCTGCGTAAGCAGAATGAAGGATCACTCAGCGTCATTGAACGCGCGAGCGAAAGTGCGATGCTAGCAGCATCTTCTATCACACAAGCGAGAGATCTGAGAGAATCTGAGATTCCGATCTACACCACCGATCAGAAATCAAAGACGCAGTTCTACATGCCAAATTGTCGAAGATAAGGTGTGCCGGATGCGTAATGCGTGCAAACGACAACCGATGGACAGGGGCCGTTAGCGAATGAATTTCCAGGGATGTCAAACGTAAAACAGGAAGACCAGCGACTTCATTGCCAGGGGTCTTAACGAAAACCTAAGAAAAAAATATGATGGTCAATAAAGCCATAGAGCGAGCAGAACCCACTGGGCCACTCTTGTACACGAAAAGGGGAATTGGATGGTTGACTACCACCCGCTCGTGTCGCTCGACGATAAATGGGACGACAGATGATGCAGGTGAGAAGAAATTTATGTTCTAAACTTTTCAAGCACTCCAAATATAGGAAATCTAGCAACCGTTGTTGAAAACTGGATTCTAAGTGGTGCTAACTTCGGCCACCGTATGTCTGGATGTCGTTAAAACAGAATCCTAATAATAAATGAACTGAAACGAAGGTGAAACAAATTAAGTAGCAATTATAATTGATATTCAACCAAAATGACGCTGAGATATTTGCAAAACTCCGGACTGTAGGTGTCTGCGGTGGGGAACGAACGCGCTGTTACCCCTCCCGGGAGCTAACGCGACTACAGCCCGGCTGGGTTTTATGTCGACTTGGGCTCCCCAGATCAATCCCGTTGACGGTGATTGATGATAGCACTGGTCGATAGAACAAGCTAAGAGACAGGCGAAACGAAGGACCGGCATGGTGTGGTGATGAACGCGTTAGCCCCCGGAAAGGGTAATAGCGCGTTCGTTCCCCACAGCAGACACCTGCGCTCCGGAGTTTCCGCAAATACCTCAGAATCATTATGGTTGCATTTCGCATCATGCCCTGCCTTGAAAAAATTATAGTGGGCAACAAAGAAAAAGTTAGCATGGGAGTGATATTGTTTCAGCGTTAAATAATCATATTGGTAAAGATGTACAAATAACTTTAATTTGTTTGCTAAGTTTCCTCTATTCAGCTAAAAATGAGTTGATGTTCATTAAAGCATAATCGGGCAATACGTTTAGGTCCCGTCTCTAATGACGATGGCCGAGAAGTCCCGGATCGAAAATGAGGATATCAAGCGCGTGTATTGGATGCCAATTGAATGGGCTACTCAGTTGCTGAAAAAGTGCTACTCAAGAGGACAAGTGGACGAGTTCCACTTTGCACTTCTGTGTGAGGTAGCGACAAGTTTGTTTTTTTGTTATGTGTTAACGTTTCATCTTATGGTGCGGTAGATATTGAAGCATGTGGTCATGTTCTAGTTTCACTCGCTTTTTCATCTTCGCGCTCTCTTGCTTTCACTTACCTTCTACAATTCTGCAAAAATATGTTTGTGCATTCTTCACTTATTTTATCTCTCTGCCGTCAAATAGGTATTCATCTTCGCGTTACTCTACTGCTGTACCATCTACACAAATCTGCGTATTTTTCACCGTGTCTGTGCGTATTTACGATCCGTGAATGACGGTTGGAAGAGGAATCGAATATGAAAGAACAATATGCAAACACAGTCCATATGAGCCCCTCGATCTGGACCATCAATCCTCTGGAGTTGGAAAGTTGGTGCCCGAGATGATAGCAGCACTATTTTGATGTATTGGTAGGCCATAGCAAGTCATTGTATAGGCCTGATGATGTGCATTTAGTGATCTCGCAATAGTCCTTGGTGAAGCCAGGAGTCAGGTGCAATACCCATCCTTCAAGGAATGATCAACGCCGAAAGATCTATCCTTTATTTTTGTGTCTGCTTATGCATACATAGATCAGCTTAACCGGAATTCCAACTTTCAGTCAATCTTGAGATACCGTGAAATGATGCACAATCTGCTGTCGTTCGATTGGGTGAACGTGCCACTGGTCTATACACAGGTGAACAAATTCCGTTTCCTTTCGAACTCATCCTTTACGTAATTTAGAAATTCTAGGTGGTTCATGTTTGTACAGTAGCTTATTTTGGCATCATCTGCTTCTCAAATCAGTCCATTAGTGAGGTAATGTGTTTCATTTTTAACACCCAAATGGATTAACACATTGGAAGGTGGAATGAGTAGCGAATATATCCAAACTACCTTGAACGAAGGAAATATTCTCTCTGTCAGAAATGTATTGTAAACGAATTACCTGCATTTGCATATCAGACCCAAGTTTTGAAGATCTTCTCTTTAAGGATTCAGAGACGTGGGTTGACGAATTTGTTATACCAGTGTTCGCTATCTATGAATTCATTTTCTTCGTCGGTTGGCTTAAAGTGGCTCAGGTCAGCACCACGCACGTTCGCTACCCCTTCTGTGAAAATCATCAGAGATCTCCTTGTACAGGTGATGCTAAACCCTTTTGGCATGGACGACGACGACTTTGATATCGACATGCTCGTCGAGAGGAATCTGCAGGTAACTTCCTTCCTTCTTCTAAACTACGTGCTTTACCAAAGTTTTTCAATGACAGTGCTATAGAAAGTCGAAAATTGCAGCTTTAGTAGTAACAAGCTCAGAAAGTTGCCATTTGGGAATCTCACTGGTTTTCAGCACCTGTTCTTTGGAATTCTTATGCTGGTGTTTTGTACCTGCTGTTGAAAAAACCTAAATATGAGCGCATCAACACTTTTTGAAAACACACAAATGAGTCTTTTCGTCAGGCTTTGCAACAGAAACTTACCTCTATCATAACTCTTGCGAATTTCGGGCACCATATTTGGCCTTTAAAACCTCAGCACATCATTGTCAGAAACGCTCTTGTCTCTTTTATATCACTCCCATAATTCCTGTTGTACCTGTCCCAGATTTTTCCTATTACTTGCATACAAAAGCAAACCCAAGCTCTGGAGAATGTTAATGACGTCAGCCTCAACTTCTTCACTACAGTCAGAGCGATGTTGATGGCTTGTGGAGTATGCCACGGTGCTAATACATGGCTGTCTGTCAATTCTTTTTGCGTCAAACACTTCATGACATAGAGGCCTCGTAGTGGCTACCCTTTGTTAAGGAATATAATTGGCCAGTAGGCCACTCCAGTCACCATAGAGAAACGAAGAGCCTCATAGTCTTACGCCAACGTTCATTTTTTGAGATTATCTCGCAGTGGTATTGGCGAGTGTATTTGAACCTGCTATGTATCAGTGGAATACGGAACCAATTTGTACAGCTTGCCTGAAGTGGTAGGCGCTATGCGTTCTCTGAACTAATTCGTATATTAAAAGCCGTGGCTTTACCTTGCAATTAAGTGTTGGGAATAATCCCCATCAAGCTGATAGACAGTTATCATCTCGAAAGAAAGCTGATAACCGCGACAGCTTTGCAGCTGGTCTTTTTCTGCACGACAGGATGATTTTATGCTTGCTATTGAACAGATCGACTTCGTATTTTTTCGACACCTACCTACCCTTCGTCACGGCTTCAATCGCATTCGCATTTACTCACGAAGCAATTCCCAAAACCAGATTTCTGTCTGCCTTCGCATTGGCCAAATAATTCATTGTTTTTTGAGACAGAAAGACATAACCAGCTGAGAGACAGGCGAAACGAAGGACCCGCATGGTGTAGTGGTGAACGCGTTACTCCCCGGAAGGAATAGCATTCCCAACAATAGCGCGTTCGTTTCCCACCGCAGTCACCTGCGGTCTGGGATTTTGCAAATATCTCAGCGATCTTGTGGTTGTATTTCGCTTAATATCCTGCCATAAAAAATATAGAAGGCAGAAAATAAAAAGCAAATCATTGTTTTCTTTTTGATAAATAGACAGGAGGCTTTTAGCAACAAGATTTGTTCAGTACAATAGCGGATGACTCTTCGGCGTTTTGGCCTTCTTCAGAGCCTGGAAAGGTCACATTGACACACATTCTACTTATTCAAACACTTTCATAACCTAAATGGAAAAAGTTGGCATATAAATGTTTATTTATATAGTAAACAGCCTTTCTAAAACTCTCACCGTTGTTCCTTCTATTCCTTCCGGTTATTCAATGAAGACCAGCCACGCAAAGTCTCACATAGTTCGGGACTGTACCTGGCTCAGGCCAGCAAAAATCGGCTTGACGTATGGCACAAGGTCATGCATGAACTGAAGGGGGCGAAACTGCCGAGATGTCAACCAGTAATGTAGTGAACAAATTTTGTTCTTAATAACCTTGTGTCGATCAGGAAGCAAAGGCACTAGTTCGACACCATTCCCAGTCTCTACTCTAATCCACGTGGGAACCCGTTAGCCCAGCTTTCACCAAGACTGCAGGGAGAATTGACATTCTCAGCAGTCAGCATTCTACCACATTCATAAGGAAGACGAAATCCTCAAGGGGCAGCTGAAACAAGACGCGAAATGTTCGAAGACCTTCGTTGATGACAAATGCTAGTAAACGAATATAACCCAAGAATTCATGGGTCCCTTACTGTAGATATGATGACGGGTCATTTTAAAAAATCTCATGGTCTGCGCATCAAGAAAACCTGATCTCGGACTTTCAGGTTGGTTACTCGTACGTAGACAGCATGTACGACAAACTTCCACCGTTGATCTATGTCGACGTTGCTGCACTTCCTCATACAAAGGTGAGCTATGTGAAGACGAAATTAATGAGAATTAAGACGAAGTTCTTCAAAATCACGTTGTAAAGAACAAAGTATCGGTTTTTCATACTATTGAGAACTTCCTTTTATGCTCGACTTATTCATGTACTACATGGTTTTCACCTTTATATTGCAAAAATGAGAGGTTCTGGAAATTTCGATTTAAGTGCTCTTTTAAATTTTACATTTCAACTGCTAATTTCTAAATTTATCAAGTGCTTTGAATCATTCGAATGCCAGCAGCCACAGAGAATAGGAACATCGTTGTTTATTGTCGAAATACCGTAAAGCATTAACTCGGCAACTCTTCTTTTGTAATGACTACATTGCTCACGTCCATGAGTGGGGAGCGATTAGAAAGTATGTTCAATAAGAATACAAAAATTAGAACCACAACCAAATTTCTTCAGGCATCGATGGCTTTGATTACTAGGGCGAATCCTATGGTCGGCTCAGTAGCAAACGTGGATGTACCTCGCGCTGAACAACAGGTGATCAGTAAGGCCGACGTGGAGATGATACGGAAACTTGTGGTCGGTTTATCGATATTCTGTTCTGTGAAGAGAATATTTTCCAAAAACATTGTTTAATAGCGATTTGGAAGTTCAAATTTTCAGGTGGTTAGTTGTTTCCAGATTCAATTTTTTTTCTTGTCTGAATTTGCTCTCTTTTATGGGTGCCTTTTCCCTGTTCATTTGAGAAACTGGCAATTTAACAGCATTTTTTTGTAGTCGCACTAGCGATGAGAAAACTAACAACAATAGTTATGTAATAGCAATGTTCCTCCCAACGGTTTCCCGCCTCATCGTAGCTGGGAGGTGTTCCTGGGTGTCGGGCTGCGATATACGAGAGAGTGATTCGTCACCACGGTAGAGCCTGTCTACTAAGCTGAGTCCGGCGTTTCAATCAGGAAGCCCAGCTAAAGCAAACCAATGCCGGGATCTGTGACTGTCCTAGTACCAAACTAGTCGAATAGTGGCAAAGCAAGCTTTGGCCAGACTGACCGCGGGACTCCAGAGAAACACAATGGCTATGTCTGCAAGACTCCCAGAAATGGAGATCGTGCTGAAGCCCGCGCAACCCACTGTGGGCGGGCCGTTCAAGTGTCTAAGTAAGTAAGTAAATGGTAATGTTAGTGGCTTTTAAAAACAATCAATGGCTTACAAAGCATTTGCAGATACAGATATTCTGCTATTTGCATTAGCTACAAAAGCTTACGTCCATTAGTTTTTTTAGGAAACAAAGCATCACGTTAGAGTCCAATCCATTTCCTTTCTGTCGTCTTCTTATAATGTGGCCGAACTCACCTGTGCTTCGCTATGTGTAATCCTCTAGATCTCGAAGCTTGTGGTAACATTGCGATGAGGTTACGTGTTAACTTGTAATTGTAAGTTGTAATTACAATGAGGTTAACGTATTAAAGAATACATGCAAGCGTATGAGTATATTGAGGTGAGGTTAACATATTAAACTATGTGCAAGCTTGTGAGTATACTGCAATGAGGTTAACGTGAACACACAATAGAGTCGGCTTGTTTATAGGCACATGACAGCAAATATATACAATATACAACAGTGACCATGTACAATAAGGGAGATCTCCTTGGTTTAACTACATGGCGCATCACACATGATGAGCATGGGGTCGAATATGATACCGACTCACGGAACTATTTAAATGTCTTCTGTAAGGGCGGTGTTTTGGTACAGGTCTAGAACTTTAACCGAAAGCATTCGCCAGCTTCCACATCCAGCTCTCTCGATCAGATCAGGTGACTGAGGACGGTTTCCCAAACAACTTTATGCCCTTTGTGTTGTCGTGCTCGTGATGGTTTAGAACAGAAACACACAAAAAGTTCCGATTGAATAAAAAGAGTTTGAATACCAAAGGATTTTTGCAACAACCAAAGTTTCTCACAAATAAGTGAAAACATTTACATGCTGTAAGGTTGCAAAGCGATATGAGGGACCACGAATGTGGTTACCACAGACCTACGATAAGGCAAAGGAAGAGTAACCATTCTGGCCATAGTTGCTATACACGATGCGTGTGGGCAATAGGATAATCTTCATGAAGAGCACAGAGTGCAATCCACACTCTAATCGAGCTGTTTTTCTCTATATACTATTGATCTTGACTCGAACTTCAGAAAGAAAAAACGAGGTGGTTTTTCTTCCGTAGAGATGTTAGAGTCCTCGACGGGGTTCGCAAAAAACGATACACTGGTTCAAAATCGTTCCGCTCTCAATTCCACATTATCACGACGGTGGCTAGTTGTACTCCTATGTCCATTCAAAAACTTGATAGGAATCGTTATTTCCGCGTAGTCCAAGCGATATTTCTTCTTCGATTTTTGAACTGCTTGCAGCAATTTTTTCGGGCTCTGCGGTTAGACGTTCTTCTACGATGGTCTTCTGTTACTGGCATTTGTTACCAATTGTGTAGATGTGTCAAAACGATTAACCTCCAGTTTTCTTCCTTTTTTGCGTAGCTTCCTAGTGATAGATGCGCGACTCAAACTTGTGGAAATCTGATGTTTGGCAGCAGTTCTCAAGCACTTTGGCAAGAAGCTTATAATCCTCAGTCCGGCTCTTCTAGTGTGCCAGTCATGTAAAGAAAATTTGTGTAGAGCGGTGTTGTCTCATATGAATTTTTGTTCGTGAGCGCTGACAACACTGCTTTGCCTCCTAAGTCATGGATTGATTCTTGGCAAGGTGGTGATAGAATTCATTAGAGGCGGTGGTTTCTGATATTGGCCTACATCTAGTTGTTCTCCTTGGGAGAAATTGTACTCTTTAGCTCAGAGATTTTGCTGATAGTATAGGTCTCGCTCTACATCGCAGTCCAACACACAGAAACAATCCACAGCTAAACCAGCTGGGGAAATATTCA